TAACACATAATTGTATTGATTTAAAAGGGAATGTTGAAAATAAGTTGCCAACAGAGGTCAATCAAAATAGATAAATGACAAAATATTTGCCAGCATTTATCACTATCTATCACTATCTATTACATTTATTCATCCGCAATTACTACACGCAATTGAGATATTATATTATTTAAATTATTATTGTTAATAAGTAATAAAATAATATTTTGAATAGTTTTCTTCATTTGAATTTTGTTCAGCGTAGAGAATGAAATATGTTGTTGTTAAAGTAAATTAGTAGAATTTTCGAAAGTGCAACATTGAATGACTCTACGAAGGAACCAACAACTGAAATGTTGGAGGAGAGCTAGTTGTTCAGAAAATATCAAACAACAAACAAGAGAACGACAGGGGAGATGAACGCATAATTGAGTGGGCAAACAATCAAACAAATTAAAAACAGAAAACAAAAGCGACGAACAGAAAATGAATGACCGAACAATCACAAGAAGTGGATGAATGAACAGATGAGTGAATGATTGAGTGAAGACAGATATGAACATTGAAAAATGGCAGAAATAGGAACAACTGAATGAATGATTGATTAAATGGATGAATGAATGAACAATCGAACGAATGAAAGAACAAATGGAAAACGACTGAACGAACGAACGAAGAAATATATAATCGAATGAATGAACGAATGAGCAAATGAAAGAATGATCAAATTAATGAATGAGCACAGGCGAATGAATGAAAAAGTTACAAAGCATCAGCGGTTGCATCATTGGAGTGAAATGAAGCGTCCATCATCTTCACAGGCACGTGATCTGTTCTGGAAAGAAGAGAGCAGTCATGATGATGATGCTCTGTATGTGGACAGTGATGATGATAATGATGATGATGATGACGATGATGAGAGTGATGATGATGATGAAACAGTGACGACGACGACGACGATGATGATGATGATGAGACCGTGATGATGATGATGAGACAGTGATGAAGATGATGGTGTTGTTGAAAATGATGGTGATAATGAGGCTATCACTGGTGATAACGATGATGATTGAAACTGTAAAATGATATATAACCAATAAATATGACTTTGTTGATAATAACGGTGATGTTAATGATGATGGTGTGATGAAATTGAAAATAATGATGATAAATATAATTTGATATTAAATATGTTATGAAAAATTGATGTTATATCATGATGATGCTGATGATAACAACATTGATGGAACTATCAATGACAAGTTCGGAGCCAGATACTTCAAAAGTATAACATTTACAACAAAATTTTTATATTTAAAATGATGACAATTAATTCTTAATAATGACGAACGACCATGATGATGAAACGATGCTGATGACGACCACAATGATTCTGACGATGATTACGATAACGTTTAAAGCGACAATAATGTATTGATAGATGATGTTTTTTTGCAGTACATTTTATCTGCTGTTACACTATTACTATGTTGATCTTTTAAATTGTGTGTTTGTAGATTTGACTAACCAAAGGGTGGGCAAACTATGGTCCGCGAAGCTATTTTAGGCTGCCCCCCGCGAGGTCTTGTTCGCTCAAAAAAAGAAAAAGTCGTCATCCAGACATTATGTCTAAAAAAGTCTCAAATCTTGAAAAATTCTTCTCAGAGTCGAAAAAAATTGCTATTTAAGTAAATATGCGGCCTTTCAAAAGTAAAATATTTCTCAATGTTTTTTGTTTTTAGTCTGATTTTTTCATTATTTTTATATGTATAATTGTTTATTCTCTGAAAGCCTGCTTTTCAAGCGTTTAATTTCACAAGAATTATCATTAGATTTGGTCCAGTTTTACGAAACCTGTCCAGATTTTTGATCTCATCTCATGAACTGAGTTTAACGAAACTTAGCAGGATGAAAAAATTCGGAATGTTTTCCAGAATAAATTTGAATGAAAATTAATTTAAAGTTCTATTTTTGATTTGCAAATAATAGCATGTACATTATGAAATAAGAATACAAATTTAACTAAACAAACTAATTTCAATGTTAAAAGCAAAACTAACTTTACTATGTATCAACCGAGAAAACTAGCCTGGACAAACACAGCGATTTTTAAAGTATGTACCAAGTTTTTCAAATGTTAATAATGCTAATAGTGAGGCCACTACTAATAGAAAATAATAATTAATAATTTTTAATAAACAAAACCGAACGGACGAAAACACGACATCATTAGTGACGTCATTTGCTGGTCCTTGTTATTTGCATCACGTCATGCAAATCAGAGTCACGTGATGAAACTATTCATGTTCGCCGCGTCATCATGTGATGATGATGGTGATGATGAGGACTAATGATATGGTGAGGACATTAGTGGTGATGTAATAACGACGACAAAAATATTAGTGATTAAGACGGTACCAATTATAACGATAATGAATGATGATGACGATGATGATGACGACGACGATGATGATGACGATAATAACGATGATGATGATAACGATGATGATGATGATGATAATGATGATGATGACGATTGTGATGTCACTGATATTAACGATGATGCTGATGACGATATAGATAGCTGAAAATTAAACTTTTAACCGTGCATCGGCTTCTCCTTAAGTTTAATAACAGTTTTTTTACTGAAAGATATTGATAGCGGCGATGACGTTGTCACACTTCTGGCATTTGACGTCAAAAAGATAATAAAAATTATCAAGATCATGGAAAATTTATAATTGAATTTTTCTAACACCGATAATATGATGATATCATGGCGGCGATGATGAAGATGGTTAAGTACTTAGAATCAGATGAGTGATCAGATGATAAAAGAATGAATGAATGAATGAATGAATGAATGAATGAATGAATGAATGAATGAATGGATGGATGGATGGATGGATGGATGAATGGATGAATAGATGGATGAATGGATAGATGGATGAATAGATGAATGAATGAATGAATGAATGAACGAACGAACGAACGAACGTACGAACGAACGAACGAACGAACGTACGAACGAACAACGAACGAACAAACGAATGAATGAACGAACGAACGAATTAATGAATGAATGAATGTCGGTTGGTTAGTAATGATAACGATGACAAATACGATGATAGAAAATTGATGACGATGATGGCGATGACGATGACGTAATGATAGTGATGATGAATATGTTAATTCAAGTACCGGGTTGAATTTAATGATGACGAATGATGTGACAGATGATATTTTTTCTGCTGTTGTTGTTGATTATCATTGAGTTCAGTTTGAGTTCATGATTGGAAATATGAATGCAACGTTGTATAATTGATGTGGGGAGATAGCGTTTTTAATGATGAAGACGACGACGACGATGAAAACGATAAAAATGATTACAGTGAAGATGGTGGAATGGTTATATTTGAGTGATCTGACGATGATGAACCGTTTCTGATTATATGATTATGATGATAATGAGGATGATGATGATAATGAGGATGATGATGATATTGAGGATGATGATGAGGATTGTAATGAAAATGATGATGATGATAATGATGATGATGATGATGAGAGGATAATGAAGAAGAAGAAGATGATGATGATGATGATGAGGATGATGATGATTTCCAGGTAGCTACTGATATCGTTTGTGATGATGACGACGACGATGATGACGTTGATGACGATATAGCCAGTGTTGTGAGGTTACTCTTAAACGGTAACTAAACTAATAACTGAGTACTGAAATTAATGAAATTAATTACTCTGTTCTTAAAAAAAACTATTTACCCATTACAAATACTGTAAAAATGTAATAACTGTTGTAACTATCTGGATTACATTTTTGTAAAATATCACTGTTTTCAGTTTTAAGATCTTTGTTAATACTCTGTTATTAACCACTTCACTTAGCATCTTTCAGTCGTTTGAATCCATTGCGGCGTCACCCTTCACAACTTTTATAACAGTATATATAGCTGTGATGGTCATTATGTTGATATTAATTATCATGACGACGATGACGACGATGACGATGATGACGATGATGATGATGATGAATATGAATATGATTATGATGATGATGGTGGTGGTGGTAGTGATGAATATGATGATGATGAGGATGGTAATAAAGAAGAAGAAGATGATGATGATGATGGTAATGACTATGATGAATATGATCCATATGATGATGAATATAGTGATGATGATGAATATGATAATGATGACAATGATGATGGTGTGGTGATGATGAACATGATAATGATGATAATGACGATGATGAATATGATCGATATGATGATGATGATGGATGGGGTGGTGTGGTGATGATGATGATGATGACAGTGGTAGTGGTGATGACGATTGTAGGAAGGAAGAAAAAATAGAAAAACAGGCGTAAGATATAATTGATGTTATTGCCCTCTATAATATTGAAAACTGCGTGCACAAAGTTTCGATGATGATGAAGACGACGACGATGATGAAGATGACGATGATGATGATAATGACGATGATAACTATCATGATAATGAAATTTCACTTTCACTGGATTCACTTTCATTGTCAACGATAATAACGATTGCTGGAACTTATTTTAAAAACACGAACATGTATTATTTCGTCTCGTGATGTTGTAACAATTTTTCAGTTCATTCATTTTCAACTCTTTCATTTATTGGTTCGTTTGTTCATTCGTTCGTTTGTTGGTTCGTTCGTTCGTTTGTTAATTCACTCAATCATTCATTCATTCATTTACTCGCGCATACACACACACATTAAGTTTGTAAGGATACAAAAAATACCTCAACATATTTACACATACCTAAACACATGCATGCATGCATAGAAAAGCAAACCACACACTCACACACAAACACACACACACACACACAAACACACACACACACACACACACACATACACACACATACACACACACACACGCAGACATACATAGACACATAATTACGGAATACAAACATGTAACATGAATGATGATAATAACGATAAACTTTTTTTATCAGATTGAGGACGCCATGATGATGTTGGATAAAACAACTCAACGACACCGGGGTTAGTTTCTCTTGTTGTTGTTGTTTTAATGTTGTTGTTGTTGTTGTTGTTGTCGTTATTGTTGTTGTCGTTATTGTTGTTGTTATTGTTGTTGTTGTCGTCGTTATTGTTATTGTTGTTGTTGTCGTTATTGTTGTTGTTGTCGTCGTTATTGTTGTTGTTATTGTCGTTATTGTTGTTGTTGTCGTTATTGTTGTTGTTGTTTTGATATTGTCGTTATTGGTTTGACGTAATTATTATTACTATTGTTGTTGTTTTTTTTGTTATTGTTGCTGTCTTGATAAGGTTGTTGTTATTTTAATATTGTTGTTGTTGTTTTGATATTGTTGTTGTTTTGTTGTAATTGTTTTGTTGTTATTGTTGTTGTCGATGTTTTTGTTTTGATGTTCAGATATTGGTTTGCTTTTATTTTTGCATACGTTTTTTATGGGTGATGTTGTTATTTTGATGACGTCATTGTTTGGTGTTGTTGTTTTGGTGCTGTCGAAGTTATTTTATCTCCAGTTGTGTGTTCATTGGAATGTTGTTTCTTTTTGTTCATGTTTTTGTTCTTCTGACATTAATGCTGGTTGATGTTATTTTTGTTTTTTTTTCATGTTGATAATATTCCTGATTTGTTGGTCTAGTTTTTTCTTGGAGATTAATTCATGTCGTATTGCGCTGTCCATGTGTTTGTTGCCAAAATATCACATCAATGTACCCACAAATTGTTTGTTGTTTAGTTTGAAATTTGTTAAATTCTTTTTCCATTTTGATATACAATTTCAAGTGCTTGCAAAATTGGATTGGAGATTTTTGTTCTTCTTGAGCACAAAAATTTTAAAATATTTTTTGTTGTTTAACGAATTTTAAAGAAATTTAAAAAAATTGTGCTGTTTTTTGTTTTCACGTTGACATTTACTTAAAATAACCATATATTTATTTTTTTTTACATAAATACACAAATATATGTCGGTTTATTAGATTGAATTGAGATTTCCTGTAAATGTTACTTGATAAAAATTGGCTGACAGTTGTGGTGAGTGGATGGATGGATGAATGTGGGGTGATGATGTAATGTGAGTAAAATAGTAAAACTTTGATGTTGATTTTGTTGAAAAAATCGCCGATCATATAGTCTGTTTATTCTTTTGTTTATTTATTCTTTTGTTTATTTAGTTTTTTAATTGTTTTCTGTTATTTTGTTGTATAGATAATTGAACAAATAAATGCTAGTAGGTTTTTATGTTGATGAATTTGCAATAAAACCATCGCTTTGTAATTTTTTATGTATTCAAAATTTGTCCATATGCTATTTAAATAGCATCACAAATTTATTTGACGTTCAGTGCTGTTCGTCTTGTTGTTTTTCTCTTGACTAAGTTTATAATACTTTAGTATTGTTGTTGAAGCTTACATCGGGGTGTGTTGGTGTATTGTTGCTTGTGTTTGTTGGTGTGTTGTTGTTTTAGGTGTGTTGTTGGTTTGGGTGTGTTGGTGTGCTGTTTTTTATGTACTGGTAAGTTGATGTATTGTTGGTTTAGGCGTTTGGGTGTTGTTCTGTTGATTTGTTGTTACATTGTTTTAAAACTCTTTCGTCATCATTGGTAATGACAGAGCTATGTTGTTGTTTTTGTTGTTGTTGTTGTTAAAGTTGTATCAAAAACGATGTTGTTGTTTCTTTCAAATTGATTTTTGTTAACACAGCTCATGCCGTTTCTGTTTCTCTCAGGAAACTCTTACATAATGTACTAAACTGCGTTTATATTTTGGTGCTGTTAAATGTTTTGCTCCACTCAACATTGCTATTGTCGGGGCTGTCTTATTTCTGTTGTTGTTGTTGTTGTTGTTGCTACTGATGGTTTGTTCGTTTTCTTGTTGTGAATTTCAAAAAAATTCAAAAGTTTGTAGTAATAGTTAATAGTTTTAAGTCTATTGATGGTTTTTTGTAAGGAGCAGTTAGTTGTTCATCCAATTTTAAACACTTCGTCATTCAACACTTATTGAGTAATTGAATAATTAATTGATCAACTGATTGATTAGTAATTGTTAGATTGAGTGAATAATTAATTGATTAATAGATGGTTTGGTTGATTGAATGATTGAGTGAATGATGGAATAGTTGATTGATTCATCAGATGAATGATGATTTAATAATATGACAAACAGTTAAGTGAATAATTTGACGATTGAAATGATCACCAAACCTAAAAATTTAACGGATTGAAAAATATATATATATATATAAAAAGAGAAAAAAAGAGAAAGAGAGAAAGAGAAAAAAGATAAAAATAAAAATGAATGAACGAATGAGTGAAATGTAAAATAATGGGGATGGTGATGCAGTTTGAGAAGACATGGAATAAGAATCAATGAACTGGACAGTCATTGCAGATAACTCCGAAACAAAATATGAAGATGACGACGACGACGATGGTAGTATTAATGATAATAAAAATATAAATATAAGTTGTTGTTTGTTTGCGATTGATGAAAATTTAATCATGTTTTTGTATTCTATGTATTTTTTGATTGTTTTAATTGATATAATTGTTGCTACTGTTATTGTAAAGGTTGATTGTAAAGTTTTTGTTTGTTTCTGGTCCGTAGGTTCTTTTACATTAATGGCATTATATTACATGATAGTATTTTCGTTATTACATTTAATTTTTCATTTTTGTTTTATGCATGGTCCTCGACATCAGCCAGCATAACGTTTGAAATCGTTTTTTTAATGTTTCAAACATTGAAAACATAGTTAAGAGTAACGACAGAAGCAACGTTGTAAGATTAGTTTTCTCTCTGTTTCTCACTCTTTTTCTTTTTCTCTCTGTTTCTCTTTGTTTTTTTTTCTCTCTCTATGTTTCTCTCTCTTGCTATCTCTCTCTCTCTCTTTAATTAATTGGCGCGATAAAATTTATTTACTCATCCAAGTCTGACGTTAATTCCGATTCTGGTAAGAGTAAATTAATTTTTGACTCCTAACAAAACCAGAACATCAGCAAATGCAACTGAAAGGGCAGCCTTCAACTAAACAACATTGATAGATCAGCGAGGATGAAAAAGCAACAGTGAAATCAAAAAAAAAAAAACTATATGCTAACAACACAAAAACGACGACAACAACAACGACAACAACAACAACGACAACAACAAAACAACAACAAAACAATAATAATAGCAACAAAAAGAACAACAAAGTGTAGCACAAGAAGCAACTCACGTTCACATTGATTAGGCAATTAATTTCTTCATAGATGGCACAACAAATGCAGCGTACTGATAAGGAGTCTACATGACTGATGACTCGGGGGTCATGACCTTTTGTTGTTGTTGTTGCTGCTGCTGACGTAACTGTCGTCGTTGCTGCTGCTAACGTCACTGTTGTTGTAGCTGTGGCTTTTGATGCATCTATTTACGTTGCTTATGTGGTTGTTAGTGTTATTTTTTATAACCGATTTGTCTTCATATTGTCTATATGTTATTTACATGGCGTTTCATTTCAATGTTGTTTGTTACATCAATGTTATTGATAATATTTTAATTGTTGACGTTGTTGATGTCTTCCATACATTGTTGTATAAAAATTGATGTCAATCAAAAATGTTGAAGTTGTTTTGGACAAATTGTTGAAGCTGTGAACTTTTTCTTTCTGTGTCAACTCTGTGAATGTATATTTTTATCTGCAACGTTGTGCTGTTATTCTTGAGTCGAGTTTGATTTTCATGAAAATATTTTTTGTTTTTTTGTTTTTTTTATCGTTGTTTGTGCTTTTGTATGTTTGTTAATAGACGATAACAATAATATAATATAATATAAAATGCTAATAGACAATAATATGCTAATAGACAATAATAATAACATAATATATAAACAATGAAAATAATAATAAATAATTTTATTTGTCATAATTTTTTCGCGGCGTAATGGAATGTGTGTTTGTAGTAATTTGAAATTGGTCAAGTTGTTGCTGCTGTGTGATAAGCGCTTGTGATGCATTTGCCTGGGTATAGGTGATGTCATTTGTACCTGATAGATGGCTTGTTGTTGGTCTGTTGTGGGCGGTTCGTTTTGTTGTTTGAATAAAGATAATTATTTGTTGATGTTGGTGTTGTCTGTTTGTTTATGATGTTTTCTTTTTGGTGGTTCTCATATTTATTTGAAGTTGCAGTAGATGTGAAATGCGTTGTTGTTGTTTTGTTTGTTAGTCATGTCGTTGTTGGTGTTGTTTAGGATGTTGTAGTTGTTGGTAAAGTTATAAACTGTTGACTTTGTTGTTGTGTTTGTTGGCAAAGTTGAATTTGAAAAGAAATACTTTCGTAAAATGTGCAATTCAACGTTGCTTAATTAAACGTCCGAATAAGAAATGAAGCAAGTGATAAGGAGCGTTTATTGATTGTTATTCTGTCTGTGGAGAAGTCTTCTAAATGTCAATCATTTTTTGAACGGTTGTCATTTTATTGTGTATCATCAATCAATCATTCAATCATTCAACCAGCCATCTGACCAATCAAAATGTTTCATTCAATCAATTATTCAACCATTCAAACGCTCAATCAGTTTTTTATTCTTTCTAATGAACAGCAATTTATACAATTTAGACAAGATTAACAAGATTTGCTTTGTAGAAAATAAAATTAAAGTCATTGGTTGTCTATGTTGCTATTTTGTTTGTCGTTTGTCTGGAGATGTTAATTTGTTTTTGATAATGGTGACGTATGTCAAAACATTTTCACGCCAAAAAATCATATTCTCGAGACAATATATCATAAATAAAATGTTTACTGTAAAGGCATCAAAACTAGCAGATTGGAACAATTTAAACAGCAAACAGTCGATAAACAAAACGACATTTAACATCAGAAAGCCATAAAACGTAGCAATTTGACAGATGAACGCATAAACTAAACGCCTCACATGCAAATATGAAAAAAAAATCATCGACACCAAAACGACGATAGGAACATGCAGAAACATATTTGAAAACAACCACACTTACGGAAAGAAAACAAAATTTCATA